TGTGTGCCACCATGCCCAGCAGTTTTCATTTTTTTTGGATGTAAACCCAGGAGGAAATTTGCTGGGTTATGTTGATAATTCTGTAACACTCTGAGGATCCGAGGTTCTAGTTTCTTTTCTGTTTCTGTGATAAACACCAAGACCAGAGGCAGCCTGGGGAGGACAGGGCTTATTTTAGCTTGAATTCCAGGTCAGGGGCCATCACAGGGAAGTCAGGGCAGGAACTCAAGCAGGAACGGAAGCCCAGACCATGAAGGAGTGCTGCTTGCTGGTCCTTCTGCTGGCTTTCTTATACAGCCCAGGCCCACCTTCCTAGGGATGGTGCTGCCTGCCTACAGTGGGCTGGGCCCTCAATCACCAATCAAGACAGTTCCTCCCAGACATGGCTTCAGGCCAGTATCATCAAGGCAGTTCTTGGGTTGAAGTTCTTTTCCAAATGGCTCTAGGTTGTGTCAAGTTGATGATGAAAACCAACCAGAACGGCCTCGGCGTCCACACATGCGCCCTCTGCACATCCTCCAGCATTCACAGGCCTCCATGTCTTCCTCATCAACACTTATCATTTTCGTTTTATTTCTTTTGTAGTAGCTGTACGAATAATAGACGCATGGTGATTAGATCCTGCAATTCTGTTTGAAGACATTTGTAGTGCCCTGTGGGTCGCCAGAGCCACACACATGTCCACACGGACAGCTGGGTAGAGTGATGGCAGGGATCATTAGCTTGGGTAGATCCTGCTGTTAAGGCTGATCATTAATTAGAAATGATTGTCAAGAGGAGGTGCTTTGTCACAGTAACGTTTTCTTGTGATTTTTGTACCCTTCAAATACCCTTCACTGATAATAGAAAAATCTGTTTATTGAACTAATGCCACATTCCTGTTTATTACCCGGCTAACCTGGTTGTCAATGTGTTACTTCCTTTCCCAACACGTGGCCAACAAGCTTTCCAGTGAGGAGGCGGTGAAGAGAGTTTTAGCTGGGGAGAAGGGGGATCCAAGAGGAAGGGCCCCTCGAACCTCCAAGGTGTCTGAATCTGACAGTAAGAATATGAAGGAAGAATACTCCAGAAGCCAGGAGGTGAGTGCAAGCTGCACATCCTTGATGTCCTGAGTCTGCAGCTTCAGGAAGGCTGGGAAAGGGCGCCCATGTGCCTGTGCGTGTGGCCTGTATTTTCAGGTTAGAAGAAGCTCTGGTGCGAGCTCAGAGCGGAGACCGAAGGAGGAACCGAAAGAAGACAGCAAGCTGAGAGAGAAGAGCCAGGAGAAGGCCAGGGAGGGCGACAGGGACCGGAGACAGGGAGAGCGTGAGAGAGTCCGGGCGAAGGCCAGGCAGGACGGGGACAGGGATCGAGGTAACAAGGACCGGGAGGCCGAGCGAGAGGCGGGGAAGGACAAGGACCGGGAACGGCGAAGAGCCAAAGGTGGAGAGCACGCTGGGGACTGCAACAGGGAGAAGAGGCGAGAGCCGGACAAGCCGGAGAAAAAGGCACGGACAAGTGTGTGTAAATGTGGGAGTGTGCGTGTCACAGTGCGTGTGTGCAGTCCGCTCTTCCCACCTCTGCGTGGGTTCTGGGTTCAAATTTAGGTTGTTGTGTTTGTGTGACAGATGCTTTTCCTGGCAGTCTGTCTCGCTGGCCCAGTTTTAAAAATTGTAAATGTTTTTATTCCTCAACAGCAGTTTCAGCCATTTGCCAAGGTGTTTTTCCATAAGCTTCCAGCCAGGCCCCACTTCGTACCCACAGAGCACACTCTGGCTATAACTTTCGGTAGCTGTTGAATTCCCAGCCCAGTAGAGTGTCTGGCTGTAGGAGGTTTACAATACACATTTGTGGATGGTGCATTGAGCATCCAGGCACAGGATATAGACTTTTCAGATCTTGAGTCACTTCACGGAGTTGATCACTTGATAGTGGCTCAGGAGCCCTCTTTGTTTGGAGTGTGAAGAGACAGGTTGGAGGAGGAAGCCAGGGAAATACTGATGTTTGAATGCCTGTTGTCCTCAGAGTTTTAACAGTTCTCTGTTGGGCCTGTAGAGAAAGCAGTGTTCTGGAGCTTGAGCTGACTTGCCCAGGTTGGCCCCGCCCTCATCTTGTCAGATGATTGACAGGTGCTTCTGCCTGTGTCTTCACATGTTGGGGGAAGAGTTGGCATTACCTCTGCCTTGGCACCATCAGCTGTATTTACGGGCCACGTAGGTTGCATGCCTGGTCTCCTTGGAGCATGGACCCGACTGAGTTTAGCAACAATTGCAACTACTTTGAAAGTTTTTTAGGCATAAATGTAATAAGATTGCTGTTTTCTGTAACTCCTGTTCAGTGAAATTTTCAGGCAAATTTCAGGAAACTCCTCTGACTCTTAATGTTTCTTTTTAAAATATTGTATTATTTTTATTTTGTGTATGAATGTATTGCCTGCATGTATGCGAGTACACCTGTGTCGTGCAGTGCTGTGGAGGTCAGAAGAGGGCTTCAGAT